GCGATGATGTTAGACGATATTCTAGGGAATGAGTCCTATGCAACCATAAAACGTCGCGCAATGGATAGAGAAGGATGGAGGAAATGGATGCCTCGAACCTGCCCTAGGGCAGAACACTAGTGATGATATTCAATCACATTGAATTATATAAGACTAAAAAAACCTGAGCAACGCTCATTTTTTCTAAATTCAAGATATATTTATTTTCTCTCGCCCTACATGACTAATCTTTTTTTCTCCACATCAGAAATTGAAATATTCACTCATTCTGTCGTCAACAAGACAAAAAAGCATAGCAATTTTGTATCCTACATCCGACGGTCATCTGTTCAGTATGTCGGTGTATTGACTGAACAGGAACTTTTTTCGTCGAATTCACTGGCTTGTATCAGAGAAATAAAATTTTTTTTCTTTCTTGCATATATTAACGAACAACTACAAAGGCACTCCGCTTTGAGACGAAAGTCAAAAATCATGACATAATCGGTATGTATTTCTTTATATTTTCTGATGTTTTCTTCTAACTAAGATATAAGAACTATGCTACTACTACTATCGCTTGCATAATTTTTATACTTCTAATTGTTTCATCTTAAGCTCAATCGATGTTTGACTTTTTGGCTCAGGATTTTACCTTAAGTAGAGGCAACATGTATAGGAAGATTCCCAAATATAGGCATAAAAATAATCCCTTAGCTACCAAAAGCTCCAGTTTTCCAAGTTCTATAAAACCCATGGAACAGGCAAACTTGGTTCTACTTGGTAAAAGATTTCGAAAAAAAATCTCGGAAAATTTAATTTAACTCTTTATTCTGAAGAAAAGATCTCGGAATAAACGAGAGATCCGTCCTAAACGGCAATATATTGAACTAAAACAAAAAAATTAATTTCATGCACGTTAAAATGGTTCAACAATAAAATAAGCCTGCTTACGGACAAAAAACTTTTTGCACATTCAACCGACCATTTTCGGAAATTTCATGAAAATTTCAAAATTCAGTATGAAGAGCTGATTCTTGCGTAGTTCAATGGACAGCATCAAGGTAAATATTCAAGAAAGTTTTCATTGTTACCAAACGAGCTTTCGGTGCAAATTTTCCCACTTTTATTTTCGTTTTTTGTTGTAGATCCAAATCTAGTAAGATTTGTTTAAGATCTTTCACAAATGTAAGCAAAATCTTACTAAGATCTTAGAAAGATTCGAGTAAGTTTTTCGCTGGGGAAAATGTTTTTTTCCCACTTGAGGGAAAAAACTAACCGAGAAATCACGCATAAACGTATTTTACATTAGAAATGGACCGTTTTAACGCACGAGATCTTCGAAATAATCTACTCTACCTGCTGATATTAATTGCACAGCGAGAATTGTGCTAGTTCTTGACTCATGACTTTGACGTCTTCCCGTCCTCATCATTTAATTGAGAAAAATAGTTAAACCACGAACTGCTGATCAATCGTATTTTTATGCAAAAATACTTTCTTCGAGCGAAAGCACAGGCAGGAAGAAGCTTCAAAAAATGCACTTTAGGCATAAAATCCCGATACGAAAAAAAAGTGAAAATTTTCACCGAAAGCTCACTTGGTAACAATGAAAACTGTCTTGAATATTTAGCTTGATGCCGTCTATTGATCTACACAAGAATCAACTCCTCACATTGAATTTTCAAATTTCGGAAAATGGGGCAGACAATCTGACAAAGTTTAAGAAATTTCTTTTTCAGTGAGATAATATGTGCATCCCGAAAGAGCCGTAGGACATACACTTGAAAATGTGGTCTACAGAGTGAGACAATTGGAAGCAAATATAAACGAGAGATCCATCTGTGGCTTAATCAAAAATATATTGAACTGAAAGAAAAAAATTAATTTCATGCACTTTAAAATGGTTTAACAATAAAATAAGCCTCCTCACGGCGGAAAGAGACAGCTTCTCTACTTTTTTTACTCATCTCTGGGTGAGTTATACGCAATCTGTCGAAACTACTCGTTTTTCGGAGTATTCTGTACAGGATCTTCTAAAGCAGTTAACTCTACAAGTCAAATTTGTGCAGCAGTGCAAGTGGTACTTGTGCTGCCACTTGTGCTGTTTTTATGATTCGCTTGCTCGCTTTGAGCATTTAGTGCAACACAATTATTATTCATTACATCATTAGTCGTATGATTATTGTTCATAATTCATCACTGAACAACTCCTAAACAATAGAAATGTAGCAAATAACATATCTTTGTTCTCATATACACAAATCATCTGGTCACATTGACGAAGGAATCTTCAAAATCTCGTGCTTCAACACTTTAGTCTTGAGATTATTCGATCAGTTGTGAGACACTAAAGAGAATAACATTTATATTAACAAGGAAAACAATCACGAATCAAGTCAACAAGTACCGCAATAGTGAAGAAAGTACGTCTTGAGAACAATGCATAGAAATGATTTCCACCTCCCACAATTGTCTACAGTCGCTCGTTTTGCACAATTGAAAAATCTTGTTTCTATTCTATCCAGATTAGATTTTTCTAGAACAATCAGAAAACCTTCTTTTTCTATCTTTTTCAACGTCAAATCCTTGTCTGAAAAACAAAATCTTCAAGTTAGACGAACATTTGGTAGACATTATCTTAAATGACGATATAAAACTTGTTTCATCTGAACTTAATTCTTACACTGATTTCGTTTTGCTTTGTTCTATCCAAACAGACAATCTAATTTGTAATGCCATAGTGAACTAAGATCTTTGCCAGTCGTTTATTTTTGTTATCTAAATTAGCAAAAAAAAATGAAATATTGAGTTTCGTTGAAATAGTCCGATGTGAATCTCGCTTTCACTTGTTTGACACGTTGATTGAGATCGGCGAGTGAAGCCGTTGAAGATGAAGGCGAATGTATTTATTTTAATCGTTGTAGAACAGAATCGAACGCAGTTGCGTGAGGAACCCGAGTAACGTCATATTTTCCGTTAACATAACCAAGATCTTTCAAAGTTGAATATTGATCTTTCTTTGTTCAAAAAGTTCATGTAAGACGAAAAGCAAACGACAGATATATCAACTTTATCATGTTTTATCGAAGTTAAATGAAAAAAGATAACATAAAATGAAACATAAAAAATACACGATCATCTATTCTATGGAACATGAACAGTTTGAGTTGGTAATTTATTGATATTGTTCAGGAAAAAAAAGTCTGTTCGATAATGTCCATTTTTTTCCATTTTGCTTATCATCAAATTGAACAAGCCATTTACCTTCGGTATTCGATCTGATCAATTTTCCCGGATATAACTACAAGGCACAAAGTAAACAATACGATCACCAGTGATCAAAATTGAGTTACCAACCTGAATATCATCGAATAGCACCATCACTTTATCATTAATTTGAAAAGCTTTTCGAGTGTTTGTTTGTTGACGGCTGTTTGAATTAAGAGATATTTATATCTATGATAAAGGCGAGGAAAAGAATTTAATCGATACATATTTATTATTGTTCATAATTGCACAGACTTGTGAAAATACCGGTTGAAAAATCGAAAAGTTATCCGAATCAAGACAATACATGTCTTGTGATTCAAGAAACTCGTTTATATTGTAATCTTCTGTAGTTTGATGTGTTTTGGCATATATCTTTATTTCTCTATCTAAATGAAATTCTACATTTGATATTTTCTTTTCTTGAAGATATGTTAATAGCTGATCTCCATTAATTTTAAATTCATTTCCAATATCTTGAAGAAGTTTGAATAGAAATTGATATTTATCCGATAATTCAATCATGTCGCTTTCATAAATTATATCAATTGTTCTTGTGTTAATCGTTGTCGAGCGGTGACGAATAGATCACGAATTAATAAACGTTGTTCACGAATTTGTTTTTTCTTCGTTCGTTTTAATTCATTTTCTTCGCATTTTTTAACTTTTGATTTTAGATCGGTGTTTTCACATTGAATTGTTTCAATTATTTGTCCAAATTTGTTTATTTTTACCTAGAAATATGCGGAGAAAAAACACATAGTAATTGAGAAAGAATAAACTTACTGTGACCTGTCGAAAGACTGTCGACATAATTTCAAAACCAGATTTGATAAATTCCATAAGCTCAATAAAAGCTTGATCTAATTGTTTGATAATGAACGATGCTTTCAACCATTTCTCTTTCCATGTATCGAGATTGTTTTTTGTTTGATTGAAGATTATTTTAATTTGAGAATCGTATATTGAATCATCCTTTTCATATAAATCACGATCCAAATATTCAAGTAATTGATCGAATAACTTTTATAAATGCTCAGCTTGTTCATCTTTTTGTGCATCAAGAATCGCCATTAGATATATTTCACTCAGTATTTTTTTCACTCGACTGCTAATGCAAGGTAAACCATTTTCAATCATTAGAAAATTTGGTGCTTGCTCCGCGCTGAACCAAAGTGGATGAAAATTGGGCGCCAAATGCAAAATTTATCGGTGAATCCGACAGCAGGTTCCTTATAATTACATCTTCACTTCTTTTTTGGTGTCGACATAATCGCCTTTTTTTCAACCAATGAGAAAAATAAAATTTAGGCAAAAACCACGTTGATTATGTCGACACCAAAAAAGAAGTGAAGATGTAATTATAAGGAACCCGCTGTCGGATTCACCGATAAATTTTGCATTTGGCGCCCAATTTTCATCCACTTTGGTTCAGCGCGGAGCAAGCGCCAAATTTTCTAATGTACATTCTATTTACAGTTGTGATGTTATTGAGACTAATTCTGCGGATATATTTTTGCAATTTGTGAAACTAAATTCTCAAATGGTCTGTCTCCGAATTTTTGACGCCACATAAACTCTGTTAAATGTGTGTCTAATAGCGTTTTGTGTATTCCCATCATTGATTTCTTTCTCATTTTTGCCACCATCCACATATTTTCCACATTTTTAGTATGCGTATATACGCGTTGAAAAATTAAGAAAAGGAATAGAAACAAAATAAGAAATTAAACAAGGCAAAGATAACACCTAAAGTTGGATCGACAAAATGGAGTGAATGGCTCACGGTAAGATGCATTCCCAAATATATGGACGTCAACGAAGTGTGTGGTTACTTGCTTCGATATTTATTCTTTCGATGCTCGACTGTACATCATCTCTTGTCTTTTTCGGTTACATGAAACGACTTAAACGAAGCATTAACATCTGTAATTCCAACATTGCTAGTGTTAGCTCAAGGTGTCGGAGGTGAAACAATTTGTATTAACACTCCGGTTTGGATTTGTTTCCGAGACTCGATGTTTTTTTTAAAAGATGCGCTGCGAAATTCTCTACAAAATCATATCTAAACTATAATTTTAGAAATTCAATCAAGGAAACTAAGCCAATTAGATGAAAGTCGAAAAAAATGTAAACTTTCTAAAATCAAAGAATCTCTTGTGTTAACGTTTCGAAAGTAAGAAGAACTAAATTAGCCATTTTGTAGCCCTGACTTCACTCTATCTCCTAGCTACACTTCAAATTTTTTCACGTCAAAAGCCACAGCGAAATAATAGTTTTTCTATCGGCTGTCATGCATTTTTTCATTAATTTTTTAAATTTTGGGTATAGTAGCGCTTTCAGTAAAAGCCTCATAACTCCATCAAAATAAGTGTTGAAGCATCTTTTAAAAAAAACATCGAGTCTCGGAAACAAATCCAAACCAAGTTATAAGTAAAATACTGAGATCGCCATTTATTATGGGCTACCCGATACTGTAAGCAAAAGTTTAGAAAACATATAAAGGTTCTATGAGAAACTCAAATGGTTGAAAAAGGACAGGGACGTGTCGACTGACATACTGTGGCTTGGTTTCTCTGCGTACTCACTCCCATTTTTTGCTTGGATTTTTCCGTTCTGTCCCTTTCTTCCAGTCACAAACGGTTTTATTTTTCAGAAAATTCAGAGCTGATATTAGACATGATACATCGATGACATTTTATTTCCCGTAAAAATTTATTCTCTTTCACAAAAGAAACGGATCTAATGTTTTATGTTAAAAAATATTTCAAAAAAGAAAGTCAGATAATATGTACAAATCGGACCTCGTTTTTTCGCTTTTTTATGATGATGTTTTTTATTGGATCGGTTTCCAAAAAAGAAAAAACCATGGAATGAGTCACATCTTTCAGCGACAGCGAATAAAAAATAAAACTGTAAAACATGGATGCTTACTGATAACACCGTTTATTAAACGATTTCCAACGAATGCGATGAATGATTACTGCTGAAAAGGTTCAATTTTATTAAATAAATGTAATTTTTTCTTCTTGCTTATTTTAATTTAATTTTATCTCTATAATCCGTTCCATGTATATATCAAGGATAATCTCTGTTATGGGAAGAATAATATGTTTTTTGATATTTTGCTTAATTTTATATAACTAAAATGTAGCATCAAAGCATAAGCCAAAAAAAACGTGATTGAGGAGAAGAGGAAACGAATATTTGAACTACACAACCAAGTAAAAATGTTTATTGTTGTTCTTTCGAGTCTCATGTCAAACAATACGACTGACATGGTTTTCGATCAATGAATAAGCCAAAAACATTGATGAATAAATACATTGGTATAGTTCCTAATAACAATCCTAATTGAGCAGTTCCACCAAAATAAAACATGCCTTTATCTCCTGTCCACTCTATTTTAATACGATTCCCACTTGTAATTCGTAAGAACCCACTTGTCAAAGACATTAGAAACCAAACTGAAATAATAATTAAACCTCCGTGCACTGTATCCGCCCACCATGGACACGGACTTTGCCGCGCAATTACGAAAATGAAGGAAGATAGTAGACCGATGAGTATCATTCCAGCAATAGTCATATAGGTAGATATGGTTGTCCATCGTAGACTCAGCAATAAGGAAAGCAGATAGGCCATCGGAATGACAAGACTCCAATAATAAAATGCTTTCTGACTATAAGGCAGCAAAGCATACGTGCTCAACGATGGTAAACATCCGAATGATATTGTCGAAACGAAAACATTCACAGATAAGAGAATTGTCAACACCTTTCGGTTCATGTATTCGTCAGACTTTGAAGATTTTTGCGGCTCGACTATCGAAACCATAGGCATGTTCTCTTCGGTGATAACATGCGTAGTCGATAGAACTTTTTCGTGAACATCCTACAATCAAACCTAATCGATTACAAAATGCTCGTTCTTATTATTCAAATCTCCCAGAAAAATCAGCTTATGGCTTGTTGTTTTTATAAAGTTTTATGGGTCTGAGGGACGATTAAATTTTGAAATGGCCAATTATTATCTTTTTTCGACACTCATTTGACTGCTGCAAAGAATTTTTTCTGCTACAGATATTTCTGACGCTAACACAAATATCTCGTAAAGAAAACTTCGATACTCGTCTCCTGATGAATGTTGTTTTTACTATAAAAGAGAAGATTAGTCTTCTTTTTGTGTCATATATCGGTTTGGGTAGATCATGAACTGAACTTCTTCGATTTAGCAACATCTTTTTAAATCGAGATATGAGATTTTCAATTTTCGTTTCCTTACGGATGTTTTACAGGATCGAAAATTAACGAAAACGTAAATGCTTATGAGAGTCATCAATTCACGACTGCGACTTATTTCAATAGTTCATCTCGTTTCCGATTTTTTTTGTTTTGACGTTCATTTCGGCATGATCATTGCTTTTTTTTCAGGATAACTACTCGTAGCTTTGAGACCTCAATGGTAACATATTAAAATACAAACCATTTGAGCAGCGTCAGCCAATGCAATGACATTTGTCCATCTGAGAAGAACAAAGGCAATGAGCGATGCCGTAATGATACCCGCGATGCAAAGCATAAAAATGCGAACACTAAATCGAGGCTGAGTGAATCTGGCTTCTGGAATAGTACTATTACTAGTGTTAATACAAATTGTTTCACCTCCGACACCTTGAGCTAACACTAGCAATGTTGGAATTACAGATGTTAATGCTTCGCCTAAGAAAACCGCGCTCAAGTACTGTGCACGAAGTCGTTTCATGTAATCGAAAAAGACAAGAGATGATGTACAGTCGAGCATCGAAAGAATAAATATCGAAGCAAGTAACCACACACTTCGTTGACGTCCAAATAAAAATATTGTTTGTTGCCAAGACAAAGCCACGATAAAACATGCAACAATTCCAACAATGATTATCATGTAAATGTAAGGAATCTCGGAAAACTTTTTCCCTTGTCGCCAACGCAACACTATAACAACTGCAGGAACAATATTAGCTGCACAGACGCACATAGCTGCTGTTGACGGCAGAGTCCATCTCTCCGGAGTAAATGGCACAATAAGAGGAAGTTCGACGAATAATCCTTGCATGTCGATCCATGCGCTCAAGTTCATAATAGCTACTAATACATAACATGCTATTCGAGCCCACCCTAAGGAGTGAATCCTACAAGTAATTCAATGAAATTGTCACGGTGACTTTCTGTTCAAATTTTTAATTCTTTAAATCTGAATAATCGATACATTTGAAAAAGAGATTTCTTCAGAACATAATTTGCTTTTGTTTTACACGTAAGAAAAACGTCCGTACTGTGCATAATATGTCTATCCGACAGTAAAATATTCTTGCTTATATGTTCTAAAGTTCGTTATAAAACTGGTAAAACAGCTATCGTTTCCGGATCTTCTGTTTTATTGGAGAACATTCTAACAAAATTTTCTCTCCAGTTTATCGTCAAACAAATTGGACACGTTTTAGCTTTTCACAATACATCTGATCAAAATCTCGACTTACTCTGGCGTATGTTGAATAACACCGTGATGAAGTTCCTTTTCTGTGTCATTTTCATCAAATTGTGTATTGGAAATTGTGCGACTCATAAACAAATAGATTGCTACTTCTCTGCTCTTGATTTTTATTTTTTTGTCTTACTTTACCCAGAACGAGTCGTGTGACACCTGAAAAAAAGAATCAAACGACCGATAAGAGAAGCCACAGTGATAACAACGATCGAGTCACAAAATTATGCAAATATATACTCAAGTGGATAAAACTCTTTCACATTTTGTCTTTGTCCTTGCTCAAGAGTGTCGACTGAATAAGTCAATTTTATTTGAAGAGTGTCAAATATCCACTTTCCCAATCGCCTTCCGTTTCATTTGCGTTTCTAAGGTTTATTTCGACGTTGATGACAAAAACCAGATCGACGGTCGTTATGCACATTGAGAATTTAACTGAGCATGATACCCTTCCACATAATTGTTCATACATGGTGTCACATCAACCAAATCAAAATGATTCCAAAAATCTGCCTCAAATCGTGGATTTCAGCATATGTTTTTAAAATGCAATCTTTTAAAAATTTTGGACTAATGTTACTACTATTTTCGACTATATTGAAAAATGCTTCATAAATTCTACTAGAAGGTTTCAGTAATAATGCAAGAATATTTGCTACTTCTCGTTGTGTTTCTTCTTTGTCCAGTTTCACTAAATTACATTTTTTAGCTTTTTTCCATATATTTTAAGCAAAATTAAACTGGCAATCTTTAAAACAGCTGTTGAAATATTTTGGACAATGAAGTCAATGCGGCCATTTCAAAGCCGATTGTAGCTTCAATGAAATATTATTTTGTTGGGCATATGTTGTTAGTGTATTTAATAGTATCTGATATGACAATACTTCTTTATTAGTTAATGCAGTATAAACCGCTAACTTCATGTTAAAATAATTTTGGTGACATTCTAAATGTACCATCTGCATTCCAATGTGGGATAGCACTAGGAACTTGTAATGATGCCGGTGATAAACGTTTACGTTGTGTTACTAGACCAGATAATGCCATCACAAAATTATGTCTCAGAGCTTTTCATTTCATTAACTAGATTAGTGTCTTAAATAATTAATTTTTCTCTTCTCACCCTCTTCTGAGCCAGATCGGATGTTAATGTTTGCTAGTTCTGAATAATTTGATATTTTAAAATCGTGTGATACTTCTCTCATTGAAGGTACATTTAAAGTATGCGTGCAAGTAAATATTTCTTGATTTTCGTCGGAAATCTCAGTTGAGTGAAGTAAAAATAAATATTTATATGTTTAGGTTGTCCTTGAGATTTTTTTATCGATTCTATTTTGTACATAGTATCGATTACGGACATGCTGTACCAGTTGTTCATCACACAGTCATAAAACTACTATCGGAATTTTTAAAGAAGGCAGGTGGAAGAAAAACTTATAACCTTTGAATGGAAAGTCATAGCGACCTACAGTTTTCACTATTTGAAAGAGAAGACCGGGGGACGTAAATGTGTGGAAAATTGATTGGTCCCGTAATCGACCAGTCAGGTGAGTACTTGGCGGACATTTTGAAATCGATATTCTGAAGGTATTTCCCATTCGCTTTAACTTGTAATGTCACCATTCGATAGAGAAATTTGTTCTCTTTCGATCTACACAAGACCGACCTTCGTAGCTTGTTTCATTCAGGAGCCATAAGCATTTTCCGAGGAGTCCTAATTTCGGCTATTTGACCTTGAAACACCGCAAAATAGGCCGACATGATGGTAATCGGCCACGCTGAGCCGAGTGGCGATGTTTATTTTCAGTTTCAAAGCGAGATAAAGTCACTATATTAAGATTTTCGAAATATCCACTCCACATACCACTTACGAGGGAACCTTTCGAAGTGATTAAAAGCTTTTTGATCGACATCTAGTGGGTTATAGGTTATCGACCATGCTGATTCCGAATATGAATATGGGAGCGGCCTTTATCGATTTCAAAATGTCCGCCAAGT